TGTGTACACTTTCATTTGTGCACTTACCTCTTCTACAAAAGCCTTTCCTCCTAGCATGATAAATTGATCTAAGTTGGAAAGTTTACGAGAGAGTGTGAAAATATCTTAAGCTTTTGTTAACCAAATACCTTATTTTACCAAACTTAATTCGATGTGTTTAAAAATGATCATTTGTTTACAGGTTTTAAGACACAATGCTGCAGAAACTATTCATTGAATATCCCCTAAGAACATAACAGGCATCATTTCACACATTTGAATACATTTGTTTACCCGTTTGTTTTTCTGTTCATTCATCCAGGACACCAGGAATACCACTGAAGAGAAACCTGTCCAGCGATCCAAGGTAAATATAAGCATCGCCTGTCTCTTCTATCTCATTCCTCATGTGTATGCTCTGATCTTTTTCTCTGAGTGTCACTCTTGCCCCACTACACATTCATCAGCCTTTTGATCTCAAACAGAGTAAAGGAACTCTTTCCTGGGGTTTGTGTCTATTGTAAGTGCCAGCTTTCATCTCACTGAGCATGGAGGCCTAGAACACTGCCTGTTTGTGTGTCTGGTCGTAAGTCTGTATGTTTATGTGCTCAGTCCTTCAGCTTTAAGACCCAAAAGGAAGTGTGTTCATCATGCGAGAAGACCGTCTACCCGATGGAGAGATTGGTTGCCAACAACCTGGTCTTCCATTCAACATGCTTCTGCTGCAAGCACTGCAACGCCAAACTTAGGTAAATGTCATTACTATTTTTGGACTCCTTTAAAAAGTAGTAATCTCCCCGGATGGTCGTGGTTGTACAGTGTAAGATCAGTGTATTTTATGAATGTCAAGTATGAAAGCATAATTGTTCCTATTATTTCCTATAATTTGCATATGTGGTCTATCTATGAAATTGTTTGTTGACATTACTTTCTTCTTCTCCTGTCACCTTCTGGTTTTTATATAACTGTTGTATTCCTTCTCTCCCTGCAGTCTTGGAACCTTTGCAGCTCTTCAGGGTGAATTTTACTGTAAACCTCACTTTCAGCAGCTGTTCAAAAGCAAAGGCAACTACGACGAGGGCTTCGGACGCAAACAGCACAAAGAGCTCTGGACCGCCAAGGAGGGAGATAATCTAACAAAGACGGCGTAATGATACCTGCCTGTGTCCCACTCCATCCATGCCTCTTCTTTTCCTCCTCCTAACACCTCCAATACATCACGATGAACACATGCTTCATATGCTGGGGCACTGTTAAATCACCCACGCGCTCACTCGCTTTTTAAATACCATCAAAACAAATACAGGCACGAACAAAAACAGGAAATGACTGGCCAGTCATTATCCATAGTATTTTAAAAATGAATTTTGGGGATCATTTTTTGGGTTCAATTTAATTGATATCTATATTTTCCTTTTTTATTCCCCAATTTCCCGTTTGGAGTTGGTAGTTGATTGTGACCAAAAGCCTTCCCCAAAATGGGGAGTATAATAAAAATAATCACTTTTCTTTTCGTATTCTTTTGAAGAATTTGCACCGTTTATTTCCTTTTTTAATAAGTAAACTGTATGCTCAGGCAAACATTTCAGAGGGGCTAAAGAGCATACATTTTTTGCAGTAGAGTATACACTCAGGTCAATTTTCAACCAAGGATTAAAAAAAAAAAAAACACACATAGTTTCACTTATTTAAAATACACAAATCATAATAATACTCCTCGATATTGTGACTTTGCTGTCAGTTTTTTAGGTTTCACATATTTGAGGAACAAACAGGGTACAGAGTACTGTAGAATAACCTCGCACATCAGCAACAACTCACCTCGTTTTAGTTCCATCATTGTTTGCTTCATCCCGTGGTTTGTTCTTATTGACCACTGTTAGTCTTATCCTTGCATGTTGGGATGACTGGGTCTTAATAGCCTTATCTTATGACTGTATTGATCTTTTGTGTCGTGAATGATTTTATTTGTTTCATTGATGCATAGCTAATCACTTTTTAAGGTTTTTGAGAAACGCCTGAGTTTGGATTTGATTAATGTCGTGGCATAAGATAATCCTCTCTGAGCTTTTATTGATGGTGGAAATTTTAATGGAATTCTCAGTTTGTGTTTTGTATACTATCTGTACGTATAGCTGTAGTTTGTGATTAGTGAACATTCCCCACCTTACTGTACTCTCGTCTTGCACATATGACCACACATGATCACCGGACAAGATAATCACAGGGAAACTGAGGCCTCGTCCGTAAATATCCCTCACTCCGGCAGGTGAAACATCTTGAGAGCTGCTGTAAACATTTGGTTGAATTGATTATTACATTTGTCACAAACCAGGTTGTTGAAGGACAGAGCTTACGCCTTGTAGAAAACCACAACATTTTATTCCCTCGTCATTTCATCACAGTCAGTTGTTGTTGTCTTGTTGTGATTTCTCCCTGTGTTGTATTTGAGAGTGCTCATATAGCTGGACAGTTATTTTATGGTGGTCATAGAGGGATCCAATTTAGTCAGTGTCTTGAACATCTATCGTTTTGTTACCCCCAGTAAGTGTGGACAGGTTTTCTTTTTAAATAAATGCCTTCCTGTTCTAATCTCCTGTCTTATTAGCTAAATACATCTTAGCGCCTGGACCTATTTCTTAGTAATGAATTTAAAGAAAGTGGCTGAGGTAGGGTTTGTCACAGTATTAGTCCCCATTGTGCTCCTGCATGCTGCATGCAAAACCCATTGCGGAGCACCCCCTGCTGGGGAGAGCTTGACAGTGTCTAGTGAGAAAGAAAGAAAGAAAAATGACTTGCCCCTCAATTCAACTTAGCCTTTTATTCAAAGTTTTTGAAAACGTTGCCTCGGTCTCCAGTGCAGCTACTGCACTGGAGACATTTTTATTTATTTTATTTTTATTCCAAAAAGAGAATTTAACCACATTACACACAATTTACTCTTTATATTTCATTCTATACAAAGAATGAGTCAAAGCACTCAAATATCTCATAAAAGGAAAATGTCCGAATACCACTGAGACTTGTCTTACACTTGAATGACACAAAATGTAGTTTTTCTGACTGAAGGTTTACTGTGAATTTCAGCATGCTGTGCAGTACATGGATGGATATATCTGCTACTTTCCTTCTTTTAAAGAGAAGCCTTAGGAATAAATTGCTGACCTTATTACTTTTTCAAATGAGCACACACCTTGACGAACAAATTTCCTAATGCCTTTTCAGCAACAGACCAGTTTAGTTTAGAGGCCCACTCTTAAACATAAGATTATGTCACTCAACCAGCCATTTCCCCCATCTAACCTCTTCTTATCCACATAAATGTACAAAGTTCTGTATTTGACAATGTATATTTTACAATATAAAATGGTCATCTGAAACCCTGAGAATGCTTTAAAATCAAGAGTAATGTATCTAGAAATGCTGTCTTTGTCATTCTCTGTAAGCAGTTCGCCAAGGTACAACTGCTGAATCTGTGAATTGCAACTTCTCAGTTTAGCAGACTCTTAACGCTGGTGCCAAGAGGCTCAGGTGAATGATTGCAGACTAACGTCATAAATGTTAAACCTGTGAGTCATTTCATTTTTGTGCTTATGTTGTTGAGGACTTACGTTTCAATGCTGTTGTCAACGAGACATTTTAAATGTATGCATCTTTGAAAATGTATTCTGTGTTAAAGACTTGACTTGTGGATTGAGGTGGCCTTACAGCAAAAGGACGCTTGGACTGTGTTTTCAGTCGTTATCCTCTCTTCTCCCTTCTCTCTGTTACTTAGTTTGTTATGAAAGTGTAACATTTTAAAATGTAAGCGCCCCCCTTTCTACGCCTATATACACACAATCATTTTGTGCATTTTCTTTCTTTTTCTTTTTTACATGCTTTTGGAGAAAAAAAATAAATGCTGGTGTTGATTTAACTCAGTGATGTTTGTGTTTTAATTAATGTAAAGAAAGATACATCCTTGAATTCCAAGGACAATAAGGACTGAATCTCTTGATGCGAGAATATGACAATGTCCAGCTGTTAAATTCCTGTCGGTTTAGTTCTACTTTTAGACTCTTTATAAGTTCCGATGTTGGCTTTACCATTCATGGCTCCTGCTTCCCCATGTGAAGATTTGCTGAAATTCTGAATGTGTCCCTTTGGGTTCCGAGTAATTAGGATATCAATTCTCACTTTTCAGATTTTTTTAGAAACCAAACGATAAAGAAACAAAGATAAACCTGTGATAAAAATGTCCATTAGTTGCAGTCCTATAACAAACTGTTAGAAATTAGTTAATCCAACTACTACAGTAAAATCATGCTTTAACATAAATGCATTAGTAATAACATAATGATATATCTTATTGCATAATAGTCAGAGGATATTTTTTAACATTGAGTTAAGTCATTTTTATGTTTTATACTTTATTTTAGCTTCCTAAACCTCATACTATTTTTTCATTTCTCTATTGTTCTGGAACTTGCACTGCTACAACATACAAATTATCCCAATGGGGACCAATAAAGGCTTATTTTACATTAGACCTTAAATGAAGATTATTTGTCAATGCATGTTATATACTTCTACCACAGTATTTATGAACTATGAAATTAGTACTTTTAGATCTTTCATTTTATTTGCAACAACAAAGTAGGTAATGGTTAACAGGTTAACATAAAGACATCAACAAAAGATGTGCATGGAAAAGGGAATACGATCTAAGGAGTCAATGTGGGCGTAAATGTATAGTAATTAATAAGTACTGTTGCATCAATAATATAAAGGAATATTTAATAGAAATATAGAAGGTAGCCTATATATAATAGAAATTGAAAAAACACTTTTGCTTAAAGAATATGAATACTTCCCCTACCACTGGTGCATCAATATAATGGCAAAAAGCTGCGTGGATGTGCACAATGATACCTTAAATGTGGATTTTCCTATAATTATGAAGGCAGCATGAGAGCGATCTACGTCACAACTGGGTCCGCCCCTTTAACAATATCGTGAGCGCGCTTGCAGAAAGATTTCGACCGAGTAACAGCGCGCTCCCGCTGCAGCACGGCGTTTATTTAGATAGTTTAGTAACCAGAAATCCCCCTGGGAATAATTCCATGTTTTTACACCCATATGGGGGACGGAGAGTGAAGCATTTGGAAAACATGGACTCGACTTTGGAGTAAAGTGTTCACGACTTGTTGAAGTTTAAAAAAGCGGGTTCCGGTGGCGATATTTTTTCTGTCAGGAAGTTTGACGTATTCGGCTGGAGATTATTTGTTACTTTGTTTTGCTTTGGGGGGGGAGTTGTGGACTGCAGTCGGCTAAAGAAACTGCACGCAAACTCTGTGACTCCGAGAGAAGGCTGCGTTTTCTTTCACATTAGAGTCAGTTTTAATACTTTTAACAACCGTAATTTACGTACGAAGCTCTGCGAGGTGTAAAACATCGATGGAGTTAATCGAACTCCCCTAAAGTAAATCGAGGTTATGTGTACAACAACGTATATTTGAGCCAGTTTTTGCAACATGTCGCGCACTTAATAAAGTATACTTCTTATTAGGCATTCACATGCATTCTTATATGTTTAAAAAAAAACATATTTAAGTTGCAATGAGATGATGGGATATGCAGAATAAGGATATCTGCAGCCTGTATTGTGGACTCCAACCTGGCAACGCAGAGAAGGAAAATCTGCAAATTTAGCAGGAAGAGGGGCTATCAAAATCAAGGAAATCGTTCGGTCTTTTCCTCTGGCGAAGCTGTTGCTTACAAATGGATTTCAAACAGGCCATACAGTTATTATCACACCTTTCTTGGTGGTTTTTGTGCTTCGTGATTGGTGGTATTCAGCGCCCTGATCTGCATGCTTAGCAGAGTCGTGTGTGAACAATGAAAACATGTTTTGGAAATTTAAGTTTTCCAAAGGTCCGAGGCTGCAGCGGATCAGGAGTTAGTCTCTGGGACACAGCTGGAGAAGCCTGATGTAGCCTGCTTTTTTCCCATTGGAACATTTTCTGTGTTAAAATCACAGCTGTCTGTTTGTTTTTACAACCTGGAGACTGTCCGTTTGTGTGAGTGCGTTAATTTTCCGTTGAAGAAGAAGTTATCTTGGGGGGGGGGTCAGCCCCGCCATGGCGCCCCACTCTCACACACGCTCACCGGTGTGACGGTCTGCCGGTGGACACCGATGGACGTGAGCGACGACTGGAAATACTGCGTCATCCCTGCTGCGAGACACCGGTGACGCAAACCACAGGTGAGAGTTGTGCACGTGACAGGGATGACAGGTATTTGATGATTGAATTATGCTGCATTCAGGTCATGTGGGAACATTTTTGACTACAGGTTGTGTCAATTTCCATTTCAATTAAATTATATATTCACCGTCCACTGTTAGAAAGTATGATACACATGTATTATGATTGTATGTTAACGTTGAAACAGTACCAAACATAAGCAAATAAACATTTTAATTAAAAACATTTAAACAAATCTTACATATAAGATCAAATACATGTTTATATAGGCCTACTGAATCAAATATACATGGCTGAACAGGAGCAAAACTCGTTCTAGGATTCGTTTAATAAACACTGTCTTCAATCACATTCCCTGCGTTCATTTATCTTCATTTACACAGGGTCGGTTGGCTGAGCATGCATCCTCAATTACAGCACCACCATGTTTACATTTGGACAGAACACTTAATTATTTAACAAAACAACATCAAACAGAACACATAATTGTTTTTTTAAAGTCATATGCTTGTATGTAATTAATTGAGTATGGTTTTAATTGACTTATTAAGGAGGTATTTTACCAATACTAAATAAGACTGCTTCACAATCAGCAATCCTTCTAGTTCCTGATGCATCATTGAAAGGAAGTGCAGTGAAATACGTATCTAATTTTCAGAGTTAAATTAGTTACATAATTCACTTTATTATTTATTGGGAAAAGCACCAATAAATAAAGCTTCCAATTAAGTAGAGAGTTATTCATGGTCTGCAATAAGTCCTTTGCATTCATTTGAAATGTATGTACTCAAATACTTACAAGTGTAGGGCTTAATTTGTCAGGTTTGAACACTTTAAACATAAAATAAGAATGAGATGTGGTTGTTGTTCATTGTAGTTAAACTATAAGCCCTCTCTGTGATAGTGTCATGGGTTGTTATTGACATGTAAAGATAGATGTTGATAGCTGTGCCAACTGGACAAAGATATGGACCTCAGAAGGCCCTCCTACTTGTTCTCTTTGATCTTTGTTGACTTTTCTATAACCTTCACATGTTGTCATCTGTAATGCAGAATAGGAAGATTTTAAAAACTCCTTGTGATTTTGTAGAGCTTATCCCTCTGCATCTTTCTATACAAATACATCTGTATGTATGTATTGAAACATTACAAGCAACATTTGAAACTTTAGCCAAGGCAAGTAACGAGATTTTGAGACTGTTGACATTGCAATATTCAAATGTGGTGGGTTACCTTGAACCCAAAACACGTGCACCTGAAACAGGAGAGTCATCAGGCCAGGGGATTTTGCTGTGAAGCACTGAGTCCAGATGCATGACTGGCCAAAGACAGAGTAAGAACTGTGGCTGGGAAAAACAGCCTCAGACTAAACACCTCTCAAAGCAGACAGAAAAGAGAGGGGGGAAGAAAATCCATGTAAACCCTGCTAGTCCTGGAAATGTGATACAAGAAAAACAAAGCGGGCACAGCTGACTGGACTGGTAGAGCGCAGCCTCTTTCTCCATTGAATTCTCTGCATTCCACCTGGGAGGTCATTACAATCAGGAGAAGCAGAGGGTCTCTGGGGGAATGGACAGGGAGGATAGTTGTTGCGTTGTTGACTTCAGGGGACCTGAGGTACACACATCTCCAGCATTGCCTCTCCTGATGAGATGATGGCTCTGAGAGTCCTAAAGTGATTACATCCATGCAACTTGCACGTTTAAACAGGGGATAATATGGCACAACAAGGTTACATAAGTTACAACATTTTAAAAGAGGGTAATATGAAACTTCCATTTCAAAAGTAAACTTCCAAACGCTGGGCACATGCATGAAGTTCAAAGGGTTGAAGGACTTAGGTACTTGGTACCTATACTCCATTGGCAGAAGAACATGAGAGAGCGGTAGCCTGAAAGCAGCGTGGTAACGGTCTGCCAACCACAGACAGACATGCCTGGCATTCCTGTGGGTGATTATTACCCAGAATCCACAGAGTCAATGAGTTGCCGCAGGTACCGATGCTGTCCGTTTTCTTCTCAAAAAGCCTTCTGACTGTGCCAGTCTATCCTCAGAGAGACAGTTGTAACATTTTCTCTAGGCTCCATCATCACTGGTGTTTCCTGGTCTAATAACTGTCATATTGTAAATTAAGTTAGTCAGTTTTTTCCTGAGCTTAGCCAGCAGCAAACCACAGATATAATGTAAATGCTTGGATTTGCTGCAGTATATTACTAGGCAAGCTGTAGCCCTTGTTTACACTGGACTCTGGTTTATATCTTTTTCTTTCGACAATGTTTTAGACCAGTCATGGGATATTACTGAGAGGTTCCTCTTATTTGTAGTGACTTGATATGGCCATATGTATATACAAATGGGCTCATCGTGGTCAGAACAGGGGTAAGCAGCAACAGTAACCAGATTGCCATTAGCAGCTAAATTAAGGCATAGTTGTAGAGAAAATGACCAAACCTGCACACCAAATGAAATACATATTTACGTTTTGTTGCAATGGAGATATTTACATACTGCTATAACAGTCAGACCCATAACTGGAAAATGCTTCATGTGCATTGGTGTGCTTACCCTTTGTGCACATGCATCTATTTGAGAGACAATGGCCAACAAAATGTTATTCTTCAACTTGAAAGTTTACCGTCATAACCCGAAAACATTACACATGATTGTTCACATTAATTGAACTGACCAAAAAACAGATGAACCTGATTTGAGAGTATCTCTGCATCTTTGAGTTGAGTGGAAAATGGTACTGCAAATGATCTGCAAGATAAACCTGGATAAGTGACAAATCAAGTCCACTAGTTTAAAGAAGCATGTCCTTCAGAGCCATGGGCAACCTCTTATACAGTTCCAGAAACCCAAAATGACTGGTAACAGGCCACTTTATCATTGTAAATTACATTTATTAAGCCATACAGAACTGCCAAATCAGCATTTAGTGCAACAGCAATCCCTGGCTTCAAGTTTCAGAGCATGAAGATAATCCCAAGGAGTTTCACAAAATGAGATATGCAAGTTTGAAAGGTTTCATAAAGAGAGAATTTGAGTTGTGGTATCCTCCCCTGCAGAGATAAGTTAAGGAGATGTTGGGTGATTGTCTTTTGATTGTAATACCTTTTTACCAACCAATGTTTTCCATCATATTTTGTGATTGTGAAAACTAAATTTGTGTTCTCCTTTGTTAAATTACTCAGTATTCCTCGGGATTGTGAGAATCAGCATTTCGATCTACCGGTTTGTATTTCCCACAGAACATTGACAATAAAGTTGAATAAAATGTCTTAACAGTACAGATTTGGTGAAACCCTCTTCATAAAAGGAAATGCCTCACTTTATAGTGCTGTTGACGGCATATACGAGGCCGGTAATATTGCCCTGTTAACAATGGAGCTATAACCCAGCTGAGTTGGGGGGTTTTGCAGCTCGTGCAATCAGAGAGGTTTAAAGCTGGTAGATATTTAAAATGGAGGAAAACTCGCTGTTAAACTTCCCTTTTAAACCGTGCCATACTGATCACTGCCAGTGCAGCTTGAATTTCAGCCGTTTCCAATTGTCATGTTTTTTCATGTGCAAAACACACAATTCACATTCTCATGCACTGCACACTTTCTCATTCACTCAAGGTTCAGGTCACTCACTCAAACACATCTTTAGGTATGTGTTGTGCAGGCTTAGATTACATGTTTTTTAAATGTCTGCAAGGAACTATGAATAAAAAAGGTACTGCAAAAGAAATGTGGTTCTGCTTAGTTCACAGTAAAACAATATTCTGTCTTTTCTTTTACTTGCATATCATAAAATAGGCTTAGAGCCACATTGTCATCTAAACCTTCAGTTTATTCCCCATTTCTTAGTCCTAATGTTAGTAATATTTACCACTGAGTGATGTTTTATGGGCTGAGGTACTTGTATGCTGAACAACCTTTTTCATATGTCATCTCCTGTCTTACTCACATGCTTGCGTGCCATCGTAAGTTATTACACTCTTTATCTTAAAACAAATTCATTTTCTGTTTTACCACTCCAGGCTGTTGGTGGGTTTGCACACCACAGACACGTTTCTGAGGACTTGGTTTGAAGACCACGTGAGCTAACATTGCCACAATGAGTAAGTTCTCTAAATTCTGATGTTAGAAAGACATTATGAGCATGGTTTTCTCTCAACATGAGATAAAGACAGACATACACTCACAACAAACACTATCCCTGAGGCCACGGCCTGTGAGAGCTGCTGCTCCAGACGCTGTCGGATGAAGGATTGCTTGTCTGCGTTATGGAGATAGGGGTCTGGTTCTCTCTGCTGCCCCAGGACTGTATGATGTCTGTCCAAGCTTCACAAGGAGAATATTTTCTCTCCTTGAGCCAGTGCAGCCAATGCAGAGCTTGCCCTGAGATCAAACATGGGAATAGGCATATCAAAAACACTGCAGGGCTCCCTCATTTGCCTCAAATACCCTGTCACAGGATAGTCTCAATATGGATGTAGTTAAAATTTTTTTGCAGAAATGACTTTGAGGGGCTGATACCGCTCTCTGTCCGTCAAATAGAAACACAAAGGCCATCCATTATCCAATCCACACTCTAATTGTGTATTTTCCCAACTCATTATCCTCTTTAGACGAGAGGCAGGCTCTCCACTCTATAATGAAGGACCTGGTTGCCCTCCAGATGACGCGGCGCCAGCCTGTGTTGTCATATGACAGCAACAAACCCAAGATACCTGCCCAGGCCAACAGACAGGTGCGGTACAACCACATCACCAGAAATCAAACATTTTATAACACTGTAGGTCTTACTGTAGATTCCATCCACAGCATGAATGAAAAGCTTAACACACGTGTTTAGATTTGTTTCAAAAGGAAACAGTTAAGAGTCTTTAAGTTGTGTTTGGTATATATTACAATACCTTTAATATTCAGGAGAGTCTTAAATGCTGAGAAATTATGTTTTTTCTTAATGACCAGTGGTCTGTCAATGTTAGTATTACATTTTTGGACCTCTGCTACAAAGAGTGTAACTAAAGCGCTTGTGCGAGTATATTCGTGTTTTATAGTATTTCCCCTAGACCACACAACTAGATAATTTGACATAGTGGTACATGAATTCCCAAGGTAACCACCCACTGATTAACACATTGAGTTAATTTCACCTTCTTTTCTAAAAATATATCTTGCCTGTGTAGGATAAGTAGCCCACCCTCACTTTCTACTGCAGCTGCAGCCACAGAAAACAGCCAACTCATGTGCAATGTAATGTTTGCTTAAATCCAGAGATTTCCCCCCTGGGAAACACATTCTCTCCCATTTTCCCACCTCAATAACTTAAGTTTGGACTTGTTATAAGTGGAAGTGGGTTTTTTGGCAAGTGATGTAGCGATGGAGGAGGTGCAGAGTGATATTTCTTCCCCGCGAATACTCTTTGTGTAAGGTCAATAAGTGAAGGCAGTGCATGAGTAAGTCAGTCTTTTTAAGTTTTCTCTTTTGGGAAAAACACATCTCTGATAGTTACGATGGTCATTTAATTGTGTTATCTCCGATCTTACTGTTTCTGTTTTCTTTCAGGACGATGTCAGGATAAAGTTTGAGTTCTCAGGAGAGAGGAGGTATGTTTAATTTGTCATTCTCTTCTTTGTGTGTGTGTATGCGTATGTGCATGTGTGTAGGCATTTGACATGCATACATGGATGTATATCTAAGGGGGAGAGAGAGCATAAACTCACACAGAGACATAAACACACTCAGGCATGCTGTCCTCGTCACATGTTCCAGTTCATGAGAAAGACTAAGACCAGCACTTAATTCAGACTGGTATGTGAGCTGGAGGATGGAAGGGGAAAAGAACTGTGGTTAGTGTGGCTGCCAGCACAAACCTCAAATATGCAAGGTGTACTTGGAGGAATCTGCACACTCTACAAACAGCAGCTTGTGTGTATTTTGCGTGCACATGTGCATGTAAGTCGAAAGCTGTTTCCTTAACAGCCGGTACAAATCTCTTCTAAAACTTTTGTTTATGATTTCTTGCTTCTTGTTTTGTGTAATGTGTAGGATCCTGATGTTTGGAAGGCCTGTGCAGTTCGAGGAAATCCACCAGAAAGTAAAGACTGTCTTTGGCCAGCAGCTTGACCTGCACTATATGAACAATGAGGTAAAGTGGAGAGCTGGAAACAGGGAAGGTTTGGATTATTATAAATCTATCAATCTATATATTTTATAAAGTTATTGATTCATTTTCCAACAATCAACTGATAGTTTTCGCTCTACAATCAATTCCAAATATGTTTGTGTGAGTCTACACGTGTCTCATTTACGAGAATTAAAATAAAATCGTATTTTGTGGGTCCGTGTGTATGCAAGTGATAAAACATTTAAACATTGGTACATTTAACAATGTTTCAAAAAGTGTTTGTATGCTTTTGAATCTTATGTATGTGGTTGTTTATATATATGTTTTGTTGATATTGATGTTTTCTGTGTTTGTCTTGTTTCCTCGCAGTTGTCCATCCCCCTGCGAGACCAGGATGACCTGGACAAGGCAATCGACCTGCTGGACCGCAGCTCCAACATGAAGAGCATCAGGATCATGCTGCTCACTCAGGAGCACAGCAATGTAATACACACACACTCACACACTCACACTCGCACACTCACACACTGGGCATGCATTTACAGCGTATTGTTGCACCACTGACATTTCTTCACCATTGAGCCATGTTTTGTGAAATCAAAGTTCCTCATTACACTAACTGGCTTGCTGACATGAAGTTTCATCGTGTGTTGAATGTTTTTTAAGCCTACTATTCTCCTCTCCTCCTTCCCACTACAGGCCCCCTCCCCCTCCCACCACGTGCCGTGTAAGCAGGTGAGGGTCAAACCCTCGCAGTCCACTGGAGACGTTAGCACGGCCTACCAATCGTCAGAGCCCAGGGGACGCCACCTATCAACTGGTACAAATCTTCACCCGTCATTCAACTTTCTTTTTAATCTTATCTCCAAAAAGAGTATGAATCCAGTGACTAAAAGTAGGAAATATAAACGCTCTTTTTTTCTTAACGTTTTGATAATATTCAGTTTTGGGTAGCTGTCATGTCGTCGTGCTTTTGCCACTTTCTTTTTTATTTCCTGGATTTCCTTGTGTGTCGCCTTCTCTTTGGCTTCCCCTTTTAGCAATGGCTCCACTTCCTTTTCCCGTTCACCATCACTAGACGATGCCTGCTGGACATTAGCCAATCAGATTACAGAATGCTATTAGTTTCGTGGAGCAGTGGCCTGGGTTATGATGAAGTGACTGCAGGAGGGCCCCAGAGCTGGACTTTGACAGCTGTTGCTCTTTTCACTCAGAATGGAAGCTATCAGTATTTTTACAGATGTTTTCTTTTTTCCTTTTTGGGGGAGAGGGTTTCTGAATATTAAAATAACATTTATTCATGACAGTAGTTGCATGTATGTGAGTTGTTTGAATGTGGCATCAAGTACTGCATATTTGCTTTTAGTGCTGCTTGATGTCCAAATTCATCTCAACATAAATGAAGAAGGCATTTTGTTAAAAATTAGGCAAATATCATTATCATGAAATCAACTGATTTCCTCACAGCATATTGTTGCCGTGTGTTTCAGGCCTGTAGATGGCAGCAATAAAAAGAATTTAGTGGTGATGTGTATATGTATTAAATAATCCTCCATTGTTTAGTGTAATTGTTGTGGTTATGATTTTTTTTCTCATATATATAATGTTTCATTAATGATCTTTACTCCTTTCTTATCCCAGGTTCTCAGAACACGGGGCGAAGCTCACCGCCTCCTGGCTACGTGCCTGAACGCCAGCAGAGGATCGCCCGCCAAGGTTCATACACCAGCATCAACAGCGAGGGGGAGTTCATCCCTGAGACCAGCGATCAGTGTGTGAGTCATTGCTTTGATATTAAGAAAATCCACCTTAAAGTATAAATCATGCGTTTTGTATCTGAGATTTTATCCCATAAATACCCCGTCTTCAAAGGTTCAATACCTTTTCTTCAAGTTTGCAAGACACTGTAAAGCTGTTGGTAAAAGGTCAAACAAATGTATCCATCTATACATTGCAAGAGGAGCCATTGAAACATGAGCTTATTGATTCAAGTGTTCTTAAATACATTCTGTTATTAAGGTGGAATTTGCTTTTGCTGAAATGAATGTGTGTTCACAAAGCACCTTTATTTCCCACTGTGCCTGTGCAGGTGCTGGATCCTTGGAGCAGTGCAGACAATTCTGTTTCTGGCAGCTGTCAGTCTTTAGACAGCAACTCAGACAGGTAGGAGCACAGATCTGCCTGCCAGAGACTCACTTCTTCTTTCATATTTCTTATTTTTCTGGCATTTGTTTTATGTTATCACTCAAATTATACCTCTCAACATCTCTTACTCCTCCCCCTATCTTCTCCTCTCTTACAGCCCCTCACTGAGAAAGTCTCGAATGCATAGAGCAAAGAGTTATCCTGATAATCGTCAGGAGGGCTCAGGTGAGAGCTGCCATGATTTTCTCGTTCCCCGTGGGCAAATATTGTGTTCAAGCAATTCAGTCAGATATTATGAGTTGAAGCATTCTTTGTGTTGATTTTTAACCATCAGGACACTGTGAGCGATGCATAAGAGTTCATGTGTTTACAGCAAACCAAAAGCCACATTTATAAAAGAAAACTGTAAATACTAGTCCTCCTGGCCAGGCCTTTTATAAATAAACCAAAGCTAAAAACATTTTAAAATAGAAGAAATACAATCTACAACTACAGTTATTTTTCAAGTCCAGATCTGCCTTGTTCTACAAAAGTATAGTCTTCAAGGAAGAGTCATAATGTAGTTCATTTGACTCAGTGAGCATCTGAGCTAAACTGTTTCAATTACAGGCTAATCCTCCTGATATTTGACCTTTGGATATTTACTTTCAGACCGGGAGAATCATGTGTATGACAGGGTAGCAGGGAAAGGAGGCACCTTTCCTCGTAGGTATCACGTCTCCCTGCATCATAAAGACCACAGTGAAGGTAAGACCGGCATTGGTATCTTATCTGACAATGTAGCTTATTTCTCATGCTTTCTCTTTAGACCATTTCCTCTCTTAATCTCCTCTGTTTGTCATGAGATTTTTAACCTGGGCCAACCTCTTTCCTGCTCTCCTTCAGGCCGGCGGACGTTCCCGAGGATCCGCCGCCCCCAGGGGAACCTGTTCACTCTGGTGCCCTCGCGCCGGTCGCTCAATGGCAGCGAGGAGAGTGTGGGCAGCTGGCAGCATGTCGACGCTCAGGGCAGGCTGCGGCCCCAAGAGCGTCCTGTCGCGCACAAGTGTGAGTGTTGCTCCATTAAGACTCAAAACAAAGTGTCCTTATTATTCTTAAAGGATATCTAGATGATGCATTGCAGGGTTCAATGGCTAATATATATACCTAATCATCTAATTAAAAGTTTTTCCTCTAGAGTTGACTTTTAGCAGGAAATTAGAAACAATACTTAAAAGGTGTGTCAGATTCCTATGCTAACTGTACCATATGCCAGGGCTATTCAATTGGCGGCCCGCGGGCCAAACCCGGCCCCGGGGTGATATTTACTGGCCCTTTGAGAATAATGTTAAAAAGTAATCTACATCATTCTTTTTTAAAGATTTCTTTTTGGGCCAGAGTGCCTTTTATTCCAGAGAGGGTTTTAAATTATGAGATAGTCGAAGGCATTGCCTGAAAACTTTGGCGGGCTCGGGTTTCGAACCCACCTACTAGCTACTGTAGTGACAACTCCTGTCATTGATTGCATCTCTGCGTGAATGATTAGATCATTTCGCCTAAATTAAATCAAATGAAATGATGTTGATTGTTAATTAGCTACACATGTAGGCTTACTGAGTTCTGAACTTGCCATTTAGATCTATAAACGACTTGGGCCTATGTTGTTTTTGATTGAATTAAACAAAATATAATAACGCACTCCACTATTTACCGTATCTGAAGCTCTTAATATGATAGCTCATATTTCAAGCCATCTTTTTCCCGGCCCCTTGCTTTGGATCATTTTCATCAACCGGCCCCCATTCCAAACTAATTGAATAGCCCTGCCATATGCATTGCTGTGCCATTAGAAATCCGTCAGTTTAGCTTTGGTTATTAGGAACATTTGTTGGAAGGGTAAAAGAGAAAATAATAATTTTTGCAACTATTTAAACTAAAGGCTGTGTACTCTTTTCTATGCTATGCAAGATGGCATGTTCTATATATTAAATAGAAACAAATGAACATCTGTGATGTTTCTTTGCAGCACCCAGTGCTCCGATGACATGGCGGCGGGGGAAGCTTCTGGGCCAGGGAGCGTTCGGTCGTGTGTACCTGTGTTACGATGTGGATACTGGGAGAGAACTGGCTGCCAAGCAGGTCCAGTTTGATCCAGAGAGTCCTGAGACGAGCAAGGTGAGGCACATGGAGATCAAATGTTTATGTTTTCACAGAGACAGAAAGCTTGGTTGTCTTATGCCTTCCCCTTTCATCTTTCTGGTACTGAGGGAGAAGATAACCACTATTTACAATTTGATATCAACTCAAGTTGCTATAAAAACATGACATTGAAATCCAAGTGAAAACAACTTTTTACTGATGAAGCGTTGAAGAGATTTCTTTCTTCCCTCAACCCCCCTCTTCCCCATTTAAATGGGTTTTCCTGTCTTCCACAGAGGAAAAATGCACTGTCACTTCCTGTGTCTAAAAAGGAGACGGATGTTGTGGTGGGGGAGGGGGGGCGGTCATTGCCTTGGCCTTTCATTACCCCTTCACCCCCTCCCAGCTTGTAGCACATTGGAATCAGTTGTTTATTTAAAACCGGCTTCTGTGTTGGGATTAATTTGACTTCCCTCTCTTCTATTGGGGGACTGTGCAATTGATTTACATCTACTCTCTTTACGCAAGGTTTCACATTTGGCTCAACATGCAGCGATTAATAACTTTTTGTCATTCCTGTGTTTATGGTTAGATGTGTCGTCATCAGCAGTAACAGATATGACAGAGCATTCTCTGGCATGTCCGGAAAGTGCATTTGGTTTACAAATGAAAACAAAGCGGCATTGTTCAGAAATCTGAGCTTTTATGTCTGAGCAGTTGAGTCTTCATGTTGTAATCTCCCTGCTTCTCATTGTGTCTGTACAGGAGGTCAGCGCTTTGGAGTGTGAAATCCAGTTGCTGAAAAATCTGCACCACGAGCGCATTGTTCAGTACTACGGCTGTCTGAGAGACCACAATGAGAAGACCCTCACCATCTTCATGGAGTACATGCCGGGGGTGAGTCCCAGCAGATTTCATTCTCAGAGATCCAGCTAGGGAACAGATAAATGTTTTTTTTCGCTGGTTGAACAAGTGACAATAATTCCCTAACCTCAGTTTATTTGTTCAAAGACAAGTTGGCATCCAACATTATGTCACTGTGTAATTATTTAAAGCCAAAAAAAGACGTGATTAAGGCAAACGGAGGGCATCCATTAGTTCCCCAAGACTAAATGTTTTGATTTTATATTAATCTGGTGATGTTGGCATTAGGAAGTGTAATTTGGCCGATTTCCTCTGTTCCTTCCATCTGAAATGATGCTCATTATTAAGCTAAATACCTTTTTTCTTTTCAACTGCAGATACTTTTCCAGGAACCTTTTCTAGGAACTCAGTAACATTGTTTCAGTTTGGGGATACTGAGCCTTAGTTGTGTAACCAACTTCTTTCAGGACTAAATAAGTAGTGAGATTAAAGAGATAAAGAAAGATTGCGCTACGTACTAAAGCAGGTCAAGAACCAGAAGAAACAAATGTCACATTGTTGCAGTCAGTCAGTTGTTTATATTTTCTAGGTCTTGGCATCCACAAATAATGACCATAGAGCAAGTCCACGCCGAGTAGTCTCTCTTTCAACCCAAGATTGTTGTTTTCCGATATCAATTCAAGCATGCATCAGCTAAATTACACTGCAAACAATGTGATCATTTTTGTTTGTTTATCAGTCTATTTTTTTATCAATTAGCTTACTTTTTCCTAATGTGAGCTTTTCTAAGTTTTGTTATATATGTGTTTCTTTTTACATCCTGACTGTGTTCCCGGTTTAGACCTTCAGTGAGGGGGTGGACTGGTGGTCTTGAATCGTAATGTGCTCACAGTGTGTGTGCTGGTGTGTTTAGCATTTGCTTGTTTCCTATCAGGGTTCAGTCAAAGATCAGCTGAAGGCCTACGGGGCGTTGACAGAAAACGTGACACGGAAGTACACAAGACAGATCCTGGAGGGCATGTCCTATCTGCACAGCAACATGATCGTACACCGGGACATCAAAGGTAGTCCTGTTAATACACAGGGGCTAGAGTAATATATTATTTTGATACTAGATCAATGTTTAGACAGAGTTTTGATATTCAAATGTTTGACAGTATGTGAAAGGGGATCAAATATTTACGTGTTCCATGTCAACTCAGGTGCCAACATCCTGCGGGATTCAGAGGGCAACGTGAAGCTCGGAGACTTTGGTGCCAGCAAGAGGCTGCAGACCATCTGCATGTCTGGCACTGGCATCCGCTCTGTGACCGGCACCCCGTACTGGATGAGCCCCGAGGTGATCAGTGGAGAGGGCTACGGGAGGAAAGCTGACGTCTGGTAAGACCAGGAGATGTACAGCGCTCTAGCTCAATGTTTGATCCCAGATAATCAAGCACAGTACATGTTTCAGGGATATAAGTCATGCTTAAGCTATATTTATATTAGGTAAGAAGGTCTTCTAATTGAAGCCGTTTCTCAGAGCACAAATTGTAGATTTTCATATGTATCCTTTCTATGGCCAACTTAATTTAAAATATGTTTTTAAATAAGGTGCCTACATCTCAATATTGAAATACATATAACCCATTTAGTTTAATACCTGGAAGAATACTTAATTGCTTACTCAAAGCTGTAGAGCAGATTATAAATGGTACTACCCTGCAGTTATCATGTTGATGTATCCTTGGGCAAGATAACCCCAAATTGCTCTTGATGGTGTTGAAATGGTGTGTGAGTGTTAGCTTCCTTGTGCAGGTAGCACCTTGCATGGCAGCCCCTGCCTTCGTATGAATGTGTGTGAATGCGTGAAGGGTGTATTTATAAGCTCTTTGAGGACTCAGAAAGACCGGATACAAAATACATATAATGCAGTCCATTGTACTTGTGTGACTTCCATGAAAACACAAACATATTGGCTTTTTAAATGTAGTTGTTAGGTTTTGTATCATGTAGTAACCTTCATTCCCATCATCATTTTGAGTTGTGTGCTCTCAGCGGGAAGATTCATAAAAATAAAGTGAGTAAAGCCTGCAGTATGTAACCCATGGTCTACCACACTCCCACACAGAGCAGACCACATTCCCTCATGCAATCTGATTGGGTGGTGAACCCATGAGTGTTGTGATGTGATTGGCTGAAGGCCAGTCAGACAGGTCGTAACAGAGGTTGGTATGTTCCAGGTTCTCAGTGAAGCTCCCAAACAGGTGGAGGAGGCCTTCTGCAGACAGCGAGTGTGAAAGTTTTAACTCAAAACATTCCTCTAAAGCTCATATGTGGTATTTGTTTTCAGCTTGTTTTGTGACTAGAATACTTGTACTTGCAGACTTGTTGCTGTTCAGAGTCTTTATGGTTATTTCCACTTTGTGTAAGTCGCCTTATATAAAAGCGTCTGCTAAATGTATTGTAATGTCATTTCTTTTTTTTTAGGAGCCTTGGTTGTACCGTGGTGGAGATGCTGACGGAAAAGCCTCCATGGGCTGAATACGAAGCCATGGCGGCCATATTCAAGATCGCCACCCAGCCCACCAACCCACTGCTGCCTTCACACACCTCGGACCAGGCACGGGACTTCATCAGCTGCATTTTTGTGGAGGCCAAACAGAGACCCAGTGCTGAGGAGCTGCTCAGACATCCCTTCTCCCAGATTCTGTGCTGAAACCTGCCCGGTTTCTAACTTTTTACCACGGACTAGCCTAATCAGTATCTGTAGCTTCCTTGAAACCCATCCATGGCAGAAACCCGGACGTGGAACTGGACTAGAAGTCAGTGTAAAACACACCGTGCCTCTTCCCCCACGTCCAACAGCAGCATCTATTTCTTGAACACCAATGCCAGTACATGCTCTTACAAGAGTCACCACCAGGGGGAAACAAAACATTAAGTATCTGGTGGGCAGTGGATACAAACACTCTTATGTGCACAAACGATGCACTCCAAAGGCAGCATCATTAAGTCATGCTACAGTTGTGTATTCATCCAGTTGCCTCTCCTGTATTTGCGTTCACTTCTTTGGGCAGGGATCAGGTATTTGACATCATTTCAAAGCTTCAGCACACACCTGGTGCACAACAGTGTTAATTATTTCCCCCCCTCCTCTTTGTCTAGTTTCTTTTTCAAGAAAACTAAGATCTTAGAGTAGTTAAAAGCTATGTTTGATGCATTTCTTACTAGATGATTGAGTATATTGAATGAAACACAGATGTTGGATATATGTGTAGAGTAGCTACACTGGAGTTTATATAACAGAACAAGTCTTATTTTAGTTCCACAATTTAACATAATTTAGTAAACCGGTAAAAATGTATAAGAGCAACAAAAAGTTTCTCCACTGACACGTTTTCTTTATCATAGTGCAGCAAAGTAGATGTTTTTTTCATTAAGATTGTTAGATGAGTTTTGAAGACTCTGGAAATGCCTTCAGAGCAGTGGTGATTGTAATAATAGAGCTTCTAACTGAGGCTATGCAGCCACAGGACCTGATTTAAGTCAGAGATACAACTTGAAATGTCTCTCCAAAGCAGAAAACACTCCCTCCACAATCACTATTGCTGCCTCCTAACTGTAGAAGTATGAGCATGAGATATAACAGTGTCCGATGAGATGAGGGTGGATTTTTCTTTTTGACTTCTCTCATGTTTTACATTTCGCCTCAATGTGACTTATCCATCTACCTGCCATTCTCTTCTTGTAGCTCTTCAGCATCACAGGTGTTCTCAGCCGACAAAGTGCCAAAAAGGGGCAGATGAAATGCCTCAGACTTGATCAGTTTTATACGAAAGCTTTAAACTGTTTAAAGTACAAAAATATATTTCCGTTGGCTTTTGCCTAATATGTCTGGCCCAAACATTCCTGAATGAGAAGCCTTAGTTTGAGGATCCATTTAAAATCAGATGCACTTTTATGTCAAATGAATGTTTTTGTCCTCTTTACCAAATTCATAAATATTGTTAACTTCAAATGTGAAAAATGTTAAAACTTTATTTATATCTCCATGTCTATCCCAATTCGATGTTTTTATAAGCCAATGTGTATAAATATATTTTTTTATATTTAGACTGTGTCATATCTAATGATACTTTCAGGACTCAGTAAATCATTGAAAGCAGCTGGTTTTGCAGACATTGGGGTTTATAAAAGAAGAATGGGTGAGAAACAAATTCTGCCTGTCTGGTTCCTCTTCCAGCTAAAACACCTTTCCACACATTCTTAGGAAACTTTTACTTATAACTTATAACGCTTTGACACATCGATAAGGTGTCATGAATGAAGCCTTTAAATGCTTAACTGCTGGGAGTACTTTTCTGTGATCTCAGTAATGAAAGTGTGTGTGTGTGTGTGTGTGTGTGTGTGTGTGTGTGTGTGTGTGTGTGTGTGTGTGTGTGTGTGTGTGTGTGTGTGTGTGTGTGTGTGTGTGTGTGTGTGTCAAAGACGAGCCAGATCAGAGCCAGTGCTGGAGCGCAGAGTTCCCTGTTCATCCCATACGACGACTTTGTTTATCCCAGGGTTCAGACGAGTCCAGTATTTCATGAATTGCTGGGCAAAATGCTTGCTGCTGCCTTTAAGCTAATATAAAAACTTTCTCTGGGGCTGCTACAGGTTAAAGGCAGCTAAAATATGTTCAGTGTTTTAAAAAAGTGTTATTTTTAAGGAAAAGACAGTAGGATAAAGAACCCTGTGGTAAGCAAATGAATACAAACTAGTTGTTTAGAGATCTATATATTATAAATGATGATGT